TCCCCAGGAAAAGTTAATGTCTAAGGTAGGCACAGTGGGTGATTAAGTACCTACAATTATTTTGAAGGCTTAGTCTGATTATCTGTAAAATCTTTAAAAACATGGGGCCAGAGAGATGGCTCAGCAGGTAAAGGCACTTGTTGTCAAGTCTGACGACCCGAGTTTGATTCCTGGATCCCACATGATGAAAACAGAACAGACTTCCATAAGTTGTCCTCTAACTTCCATATGTTCAAAACACACATACACACACACACACACACACACACACACACTAAATTTTAAAAAACAAAGCCCCATATGTTCAAATGTGACTTCACCCTAATCCTTTCACAACTAAAATTCCCATTATTAAATCATGAGACAAAATGGTTTTAAAACTTTATTGTAGATTGAGTCACTACTCGCCTGACCACAACATGGTGACATTTAGGAAGAGAATGGATGAGATAAACTCCTAAAAAGAAATGAAATTCACATGGACACAAAATTTCACATTTAAAATAACGAATAGAACTACCAGAATAAGGCTTTCACAAATTCCAAGGGAAAATGATTTTGAAGTTAAAAAATTATACTCAGCAAAAATGTCAACTCAGCCTGAAGGCCTAGACAACAGGGGTAATTGCTTAAAGATGTGTTTCAGTGCCATGAGAGAAAATGGGAGCTGCAGGGTCAGTAACTGTCTGCACTAGCGTGTTCATCAAAGTAAGCCCACTCCAACAGGAGGGAAATGACCCAAGAATATCTTCTTTGAGTATGAAAGGAATGGGGCTGTGGAGACGGCTCAATGGTTAAGAGCACTTACTGCTCTTCTAAAGGATCCAAATTTCATTTCCAGTACCCACAGTTACAACTGCCTATAAATCCAGCTCCAGAGGCTCTGACCCCTCCTTCTGGCCTCTGACAACACTCAGCACATGCATACATACAGACACACACACATACACACATAATTAAAAATAATTTTTTAAAAAAGATTGAGGCCAGGGCATGGTGGTGCACCTTTAATCCCAGCACTTGGGAAGCAGAGACAGGCAGAGCATTGTGAGATCAAGGCCAGCCTGGTTTCCATGGTGAGTTCCAAGCTGGCTGTACAGGGAGACCCTGTCTCAAAAAAGACAAAATAAAAGAGAAAGCCAACAGGAAAGCCTGGAAAAATAAGAATTGCTCCCACAGCATTCCCAGTATGTGAAACACAGCTGAGGCTCCATGAGGGGAGGTACAGGAGATTGTATAAGGTCTGAGAGGGCTGCAGCAGGCTTGCCCCCACGCCCTCAACACCAGCCAGCCAAACTCCCTTCCGGCACAAAATCCCACACCAAAGAAACTTTGGAGAAGAGAAACCAAGTCTGGGCAGCCCAGGGACACCAGAATAAAGGAAGGAGATGACATAGGTAAGAGCAAGTAGTTAGAAAGCAGCCCTCTCCTTTTGAATACAACCCAAAATGCCAGAAAAGAAAGTTCTAGAAGCCGAAGCTTAAAAAAAAATCTCAAACCACACTCCCCTCTAAAAGTCAAGAAAACCAATGCCAGATAAAAATGAGGTAAGAAAGACAGGGAGCCATCATTTCATGAAAAATCAACACAGGAGCAGACTACCGTCACAAGATAGTAAAAGCATCATGAAGACAATACAGTGCCCATGAGGATGAAAAAACCTCAACATACCATTTCAAAATAAGCTAAAGGAAATAAGAAAATCATAAAAGGCGTGAAAGAACAGTGCAACAAGGATTAGAAACACTAAGAAGTAAAATAACAAACACAGGTAAAGAATTAGAAATATCAGGTGTAGCAGAGCAGGCCTCAGGAGGCTGAGGCAGGAGGGTGTTGAATTGGAGGCCAGCCTGGGCTGCACAGTGAAACGATCTCAGAGAAGTAAAAATTAAAGAAAGTTACCTTTACTAGAAGGTAAAATCTATTAATAGGTTGGAAGGGAGAGAAGAGAAGGCTGGAAAGAGGGCAACTGATGTTTGGAAGATGAGCAGGACATCAAGGTAGGCTCCCCAGGAAGAGACGCAAAGCAAAGGAACAGAACAATACCAACACTGTAGTATGAAAGAAAATCCTCCCAAAGTTTTCAACTACATATACATTGAGAAGGTTCACCATACATGAGAAAAATCAGCTGAGATTGATCATTCACACAAATGGGATTTTACTAATTCTAGTAAAACTACTGGACTCAAAGAAAAAGATAAAATATATTTGGGTATCCAGGTAAAAGCAACCAGATGCCTTTAAGGGGTCAGAGTTTTTGTCAGTAACCAGAAGGAAGTGCTGTATCCCTTACTAATCACTTTTATCTTGCTGTGACAGAACACCTGATGGAAACTACTTAAGGGAAGAGAGGTTTGAGGAGATACAGTCCATAATGGCAAGGCAGGCGGGGCTGTGCTGTCCTATAGCAGTGGAAGGCAACTGTGTTATATCTTGGTGGACCAGGAAACAGCACAGCAGAAAGTGGGCTGGCCCAGCACCTTCAAGCCCTGACCTACAGATCTACATCTGCCTACCAGGCCCTTTGTCCAACAGGTTTGTTTCATGCCCTCCCCAAACAATGACATCAACTGGGGACCAAAAGTTCAAACACATCAGTTGTTGAGGACATTTCTCATTCTAACCACAATACCCAACATTCTTGAAAGAAAATATGTACTGAGAAAATTATATGTAGCCAAATAGACTTTCAAGCATAAAAGGCAAAGGCCATCAACACATAAGCATTCAAAACACCATTCCCATGAGCCCTTAAGAAATGTTAATAGGAAAGAGTCAGGCAATAACAGTGATCAGACAGAAGGGTCAACATAAGGACTTAAAAGCAATAAATGAACGTTTACTTGTAGAAGTAAGTGTGGGCTGGCAGGAGGAGGAGGCCATACCACAGCTATGCACTCCAGCAGCATCAGTGGAGTCACTGGAGGAGGATAAGCAAACAGTTTAGAAGTGTTTTGGGTTATCATATTCATGATGGTAGTATTGGAAGTGTTGTGGAAATTATACCCACTTCTTCAGGCTTCCCATGTGGACCAAAGACTAGCTACTCTCCAGGAATTCAGCAGGCCTTCAGTGCCAAATTGGCATTGCTGAGGCACCCAGCCTTGTGGACTAAGAAACGCCTATGTTCTTGGCCTCTCCAGGATGAGACAGCCACTGTTAGACTACCCAGACCCCATCCTGTAAGCCAATCTACTAAATTACCTTTTAATATATATTCATTCTATCAGTTCTGTTTCTCCATAAAGCACTAATGCAATAGTCAAGATCACAGAGAAAGAGAACGATGAACATAATATGCTTTAAGACACAGCAAACTAAGGTGGTCTTGCCAGAAAAATACAATCAAGCCTAAATTTGGCCAACTTTTCAGTCAACTACCACCTTATAGAAAATATGGGGGAGGAACTTCACAGATCCCAGGTGTAAAATCAACAGAATCCAGGCCAGAGGAATGTCTCAAGCCAAACTGGCTGACTTTTTATAGTAAATAATTTAGTTTATTTGTTTTATTTCTTCTCTTTTTTAGACAGGGTGAATTTCACTTTGTAGCCCAGACTGGCCTCAACCTTACGGTGGTCCTCCTGAAGTGCTCGGAAAACAAGTATAAGCCATCACATCTGGCTTTTAGCTTCTTAATTATGTGCACTTATTACTTGATGAACATTTTTCATTAAAAAAGAAAAACCTATTTGCAAGAATTCAACTAAAATGTAGACTGTAAAGGTACAGAGAAGTTTTTTTTTTTTTTGTCTATGTATTCTCAATGCCTGGTAGACTATCTTCCATTTTAGAGGTAATTAATAAATATTACCTAAAATGAATTAAGATGATTTATCAGGGACTAGAGAGATGGCTCAGTGGTTAAGAGTGCATATTGCTCTTGCAGAGGACTTAAGTTCAGTTCCCAGCACTCATGTCAAGCAGCTCACAACAGCCTGTAACTCCAGCTCCCAGGAGATCTGACACCTCTGGTCTCTACGGGCACCTGCACTCATGTGCACATAGCACACAGAGATAAACACACATACACATAATTTAAAAATAAATATAAATCTTTTTTTTTTTTTGGTCTTTTTGAGACGGGGTCTCCCTGTAGCCCCAGCTGAGTTGGAACTCACTATGTAGACCAGGCTATCTGCCTCTCCGAGTGCTAGGATTAAAGGTGTGCAACACCATACCCAGCAAAAAATAAATTTAAATCATTTAAAAAGATGATTTATTAAACGATTTCATTTAGTGATATGAGAACTAGGGTTACCAGAATAAAGAAAAGGTTACTTTTTTATTTTTTTTTTAGGGTGGTGGGCCTGGGCAGTGGTGGGGCCGGCCCAGCACACCCCATTGGGCCCAGCACCAGGAAAGGTTACTTTTAAAAAATACATTTTACCTAAACTTTGACAGTTTTGACCTAATGAAACCCTGTATCTATAATTACCTACAGAAAATTCTTGTCCTATAGATGAATCTTAAATTTCTAACAGCTTTTAAGACATATTTAGAAAGAGAATTATCAGATAATATGTCTACATTAATATTCCTTTCTAAACCTAACATTACAACCACCAAATCCAATTCTATAAAATCTGTCTATAGGGGCTAGAGAGATGGTTCAGTGGTTAAGAACACTGGCTGTTCTTGCAGAAGACCCGGGTTCGAATCCCAGCACCCACATGGCAGTTAACAACTGTCCCTAACTCCAATTCCAGGGGATCCAATAGCCTCTTCTGTCCTCTGTAGGCACTGCACGACACAGGTGCACTTATCTACATGCAGGCAATATACACATACATGTAAAAATAATATTTTTAAAAAACTGTCTATAAGATACCTTACACAAAAGCTAGTGGTTTAAATGAATACCTATTCAAATAGGAAACATTAGAAATACACCCATGCTCACATTTCCTTTCCTACTGAAAGTGCCCACAAGTCTCTATAGCAGAACAGCCATCATGAAAAACCAATAAATTTTGCAAAAACCAGCACTAACTTACCCAAAACAACTCTAAAGTCCTCACCATCCAAGTTCAATATCCAGGTGTTGGTAGTTTTTGATCTGTTCTCCATGTACTTCTTGAGGCTTTTCCCATCGATTTCCAGAGTATATTCATAAGCAAAACCACTGACAGCATCGATATTTATGGTTGCTTTTGCTTTTGCAGCTCCAACATAAAATGTCTCTTTGCCCACTAACTTGAACATCCACTCCTTTCTTATCTCTTCCTAGGTAATAATACATAAACGTTTAATGCATGCAAATGGAAAAATGTTTAATATTTACTTTAGAAATAACAAAATTTCAAGATGAATGGCAATGCTACTTATATTTTTATTAATAATATCAAGGCTTAAAAAAGTCACTTTAAGTTTAAATACCAAATTCTGTCTTATGTATTCTGTAACTACTATTAGATCGTTTTATACAGCAAAATAATACAAACAACACAATCACTGTCAGTAAAGAGCCTGACTTCACAGATGACGTCACTACGCTGACAAAGTCAAGCTTCTCTGCAACCATTTTACAAAGTAACATGTTTTCCTACCTTCCCATCCACATACACAATTCGTTTGCCTGATGTGGTCCCATGTTCAAATTCAATCTTGTGGACTCCATCACTTAAAGCAACATCCCAAACAGCTACAAGATCTGTCATCTTTTCCAGGCTATAAAGAGGGCTAAGGGAATAAAGCAAAGCCATGAAAACAGGCCCAAACAGTAAAAGAACAACCAATCCTTCCAAGATGAAAATATCAGATTTTCAAAGGCCCTAAATGATGAAATACTGAAGTGATGTTTAAGAAATCCTACTCACAGCACGTGCAACCGTTTTCTCTCTTGTATTTGCTCTTCCCTTAACAGACGACTATGTATAGGTATAGTCTAATAATACCAAGTCACCTTAATGCTAATAAGACTAAGAATCTATCCATTAATCCCGTATAGCACTCTGGCCTAGTCTACAGTTTAGTACATGGAAAGGACAGAAAAAAGTCTCTGCTCTTTAACTACCTCAACCAAAAAAAAAAAAAAAAAGCCCAGAAATCAATGTTTTTTGGTTTTGTTTTTTCACATTAGATCAATTCTAAATAAGAATTTTTCAAATTTTTCACACTTAAACTATGAGTAGGGATTCATTTTAACAATGCCCCCAACAAAAAAGCATTCCAATTTATTATTCCCAAACAGTCATGGAAGAAATATAATATAAATAATATAGATAAAAACATTAATAACAGTACATTTTGGCATTATTACAGAAGTCTAATCTACAAAGAGGATTCTGGCTTGTCAAAAATTGATGGTACAATGTGAACATATTTTATATTAATTTTTAAATGTAAAAGTGTTCTATGTGAATGTAATATGTAGAACACAGTTACTTCTTTGCTGTTGATGTAGATCACTAATTTTGAGAGAAGTAACATTTTCTACAGTAATAAGCTATCAGCAGTTGATTAGTGCTCTATGAGTGCCAGTTCTGTTGGGCTTCGCTACTTGCCCTCCGAACCTCTCCATGAGATGGGCTCCATTAGTCCTTTGCAGATGAGGCATAGAGCAGTACAGGCTTTGCCTGAGGGTACAATGACACTGAAGGGCTGGGGTAGGACTCAGACCCAGGGCTCTGGCTCCAACACTGCTCTCTTTGCATACTGTCCTCTTTCTCTTTGTTTATTCTTTCTTTCTTTCTTTCTTTCTTTCTTTTTTTTTTTTTTTTGAGACAGGGTCTTACTATGCAGCTTCACCTGGCCTAGAACTCATTATGTAGGCCAGGCTGGCCTCGAACACATAAAGATCCACCTGCCTCTGCCTCTTAAGTGCTGCGATTAAAGGTATGCACTTTCATGCCCTGCCCTCTAATCTACTTTGCGCGCTCTAAATAATTTTGAAATGGCTGCCAAGAATTCTGTGCAGAGAAGGTTCTGGAGACTTTGCATCAAGGTTCTATGGAAGAGGATGCCATGCTCATGGTGGCCACCTCCATGTAGGTGAATCACTCTCCTGCTTGCTAGAACACAGAACATTCTGCAATGCTATAAAATGTGTCTATAACAGAGGAGCTTGGAACCTAACTCTGAAGGATCCTGATAATCTCGATTTCAAAGGCCAGTTTTATTGCAAAGCAAAACATTTACCTTTCATCATCTTCAAAGATAGGACTGTCATCTCCAGATGCCATGGTTAGCACAACACTCTTTAATCCAATTAGCAGCCAGGAAAGAAAAAAGAATTGCAGCAGAGAGATTGAAAGCAACAAAGATGACATCTACAGAGGGTTTTTCTAACTTGGCAATCTAGTTCTTAAATTGCACGCAGTTTCTGATGAAGCAGCTTTTATACACAACAGTATTGCAATCTTTACTTTTCAGAGAAAGAAGTTTAGCACACAAATTGGCCAATTCCATTTTTCTGTTAAGTATATAATTTCTTTAAAATATAGCTTCTTAAGATAAAGGAATAAAGTCCAGCTTATTTTGAATATTGCATCATAGAAGAGCTGCAAGAGCCCAAGGGACCGTCTTGGTCCCATGTACTTCCCAAATGAAGCACAAAAGCCCCAAGGGTTTGAAGCAGAGCTTCAGAGAGCACAAAACTAAGATAAACAGAATATGTTTAGGGAATTCATAAAACTCTAGAGTAAACATGACAGAAGTATCAATATCACAGGGCAATAACTAATTTAAAACTCAATCTTTTTAGTATACTTAAGAAAGCTAACATATCATTTAAATCATTTTTCCCCCAAAGAAAATGTGAATTTGAGTGAGAAGTAGCTAGAATGTATTGGCTTGCTCACTAGGAGCAAACTGAATTTATTCATTTACTTAAGTCCATTTAATTGACTAATGCCAATAATAATTCCACAAAAATTATAGGACTCACTTGGTTCAACTAGAATTAGAGGCCAGTAGAATGCAATGAGCTCAGTGCTTCAGTGCTAAGTCAGAAATGCACCCAGGCTTACATGCGCAGCAGACTACACACTCTAAGAATGCTACAGTGCTAAGTAACTATGCAGAAGCTTAGATCTGCTCATGCGCACAGGAAACCCATCACATGAGAAAACAGTGATGAGCACTTGCGCTCCTGCCAACTTATTATAATTCCAACTACTGTTTTGCTCCCAAAGCCCACACCGATTTTAGTATTTTACTCAATAAATACCTTTACCCCCACCCATATGCCCAAACAATTGCTAACAATGAGAGCTCCTTCTGGCTGGAAACAGCCAGACACCACCAATTGTATAAATGACATCACAGAAAAATGGTTTCTATGCATAGCAGAATATGCCCAATGGCATCATATGAACTCTGTGCTCTTTTAAAATCAGAGAGGATGCAGAGATGTCACTCGAATTTTGCTATACAAATTTTAGAGAATTCTAGCAAGTTCAGCAGTAAAGAATTAACATTTATTTTTTATTATTTTTATTTTATGTGTATGCGTGTATTGCCTGCATGTGGGTAAGTGCACCCATGTTGTGCAATGTCCCTGGAGGTCAAAAGAGGCTGTCGGATTCCCTGGGACTGGAGTTACAGACAGTTGTTAGCTGCCATATGGGTGCTAGGATTCAAACCTGGGTCTTCTGTAAGAACAACCAACCAGTGTTCTTAACTGCTGAGCCATCTCTCCAGGCCCAGAATTAACTTCTTTTGTTACTATAAAGAACTTCAGGTATTACTAAGCCACACTAAGATAAAGTATGGGGGTTGGAGAGACGGAACAGTGGATAGGAGCACATACTGCTCCTGCAGAGACTCTGAGCTCAATCCCAGCACCCATATCAGGAAGCTCACAACTGCCTATAACTCCAACTCTATGGGATCTGGTGCCTTCTTCTGGACTGTGCAGGCACCTGCACTCAAGTGCACATACCCTCACATGTATACACATAATTAAAAATAATAAAAATTCTTTTTTAAGAGATAAAGCATGAGATCACTTTATAACACTTTTTCAGACTGAAGTATAAAAAAACATGAGTCTTCCACAGTGAGTTGGAAAGAAAGTTAAAAACCAAGATTACATTTTCTTTTTTAAAAATCACTTTGAACTGAGTTGGAGAGATGGTTCAGTGGTTAAGAGCACTGGCTACTATTGCAGATGACTAGTTTTGGTTTGGTTCCCAGCACCCACATGGCAAGTGAAAACCATCTAGAACTCCAGTTCTAAGGGATCCAATGCCCTTTTCTGACCTCCTTGGGCACTATACAACATGGGTGTACATGCAGGCATTATACTCATTCACATAATAAAATAATAAATTTTAAAAATCATTCTAAACTATTGACATTCATTCATACATGCAATTCATGGACTACTTAGAAATTAGCAAATTTTCACTCTCCAATGATTGAGAATAAGCAACAAAGCAACTACCTAGAAAATTCTACTTATGACTATGTATATCAAAATTGGTGTCATCTCAAACCCAAGTTCAAAAATCAGTACAAAATTAGGTTTCTGTTTTTCCATAGATACAATCAAGTAAGAGTAAGGCTTCCCTAATAAAAGTATTTCAATTTTTCCTGTCCATGTTATCCACTGTTTTTAAGCAAAAGACAATCTTTTCAATATTAAAAAATTATGTGTATGTGTGCAGGTATGTGCATGTGGGTGCAGGTGCCCACGGACACCAGAAGAGGGTGTCAGATCCCTGGAGCTGTAGTTACAGGCAGTTGTGAGCCACCCAATGTGGGTGCTAGGAACCAAACTCCTGTTCTATGCAAGAGCAGTAGGCACTCAATATGAGTCATCTCTCGGCCCCAAAAGATTTAAAATCTTTTTTTAAAACCTGTAAAACCTTTTAATAGCATATGTAGTTTATAAAAGGTTGCAAAGCTTCAAATTTTGTACAATTTTCACAGAGAGAATAACTTCTAAAAGTGCTTTCTAAGAAAGGATTAAACAGCATTATCTCAGCATAACCCAGATATCAGAGTCACACAATTTTCAGCAAGGGAAAGTCATAACAAAAACTAATGAGCTCACCTCGTATAGTCTCTTTCTCCCATTATGGGGAGATCAATGTAACAAGGCACCCCTTTAAATGCTGTCCCCACTGCTTGGTCCTGCACTCTTTCTATCTGCCCAACGTTCTTAAAAGGTATGGAGGGCATGGGAGTGAAGTACGTTTTCCACAAGATCCCATCTTAAAGTGTAATCCTTATCAGCACATCTCAAATAATGTTCAAGAAAAATGTTCCAAATCAACCCTATAAAGGCCTGCTTTTGAGTTTCTTATCCCAGAAGTTTCACTAGTTTTGTGAGCTATGACCTTAAACATCTCATTTCAAGTTCAGCACTTTAAAACACTGAAACTGCTCTTTGACTCAGCAGAATTGTTTGTTAGGTCACTCTGGCTTCGGTCAAGACAACCCTATTAAACCTTTTTCTTTGTTCCATACCTTGGTTCTGACCTAGAATCAGATCCACACCGTGACCTTCACAGTTCTGCTTTACCATAACACCTTGCACTGTATCATAAACGTCCCAAATTACTAATGAACTGCTGAGCACTCGGACTCCTTGGAGACGGTTTATTAGAAAATATATTTCCAAACATCCATTCAGTACTTCAGAATAAATACTCATTTAATTCACCAGATAGTACATTGCCCACAACAATGTTTACAAGATCACTGGTCACTCCCTTAGGATGCAGCAATGAGGAAAAGGGAGGGTTTTCACATCCCCCTGTGTTTACACTCTAACAGGTGATTAAATGTCACTTAAGATGTCACAAAGCAGCAAAGCTACTGAAGTTTATGTGTCCCACCATCTTCCACCCTAACTGAATTCGCTTGGTTTCATTCCACCTATTCGCACTCGGGACCTGAGACAGCTTTCCAAGTCGGCCCTTGCAAGAAACAAACTACAGAATCCTCGGAGCTCGGTGAGAAAACACTCAGCATTAAGCAACTCCAGAGCAGCTCGGAATAAACGTGCACAGCTCAAGCCCGCACGCAGGGATTGGCGAGCCAGCAGGATGCTGCAGCGGCCGCTCCTAGGAGCTCCCCAGCGCCGAGCGCCAATCGCGGGGCTCGCTCACCCTCCGCACCTCTAGGAAGTGCGTGTGCGCCCTGCCCGCCTCACTACACTCGGGGACATTTCGGCCCCAGGTCCCGGGACGCGTCCGCGGCGGCCCCGGGACTCGGAAAGTCCGGAAGCCGCGAGCCCGGGACCCGCCACGCGCACTCTGCAGAGCCGCACCTGATGGTCCGCACCGCCGCCCGGCCAGGCCGCCTCCTCACGGGCGCCCTCGGGAGCCGCCCAGCAGCGTCTCGGTCTCCGCAGCACTGAGGCCTGGGGCGCCGCACCTCGGAGTCCCGCGAGGGCCGCGACCGAGCAGGGCGGGGGACCCAGGCGCCGGCAGGAAGCGCGCCGTCCGCCCCGAGTCTCCGGCCCCGCAGGC